ATTCAAAAAATCAAAGATGTTGCTACTGTCAAATGTAAGCGGCAACGTCGCAGTGTTGAGAATATTTAAGGTCGATAGAACACAAATAATTATCCAAGAAACCAAATTTTGAGTATAATCTACGTTGCGTTCTCCAGACAGAAACGTCTAATGTGCTATCCACCGTGAATCAGCCTATATACTCACTTTATAGTTAACATGCACGAGATCTGTAGAAACAAAAGCAAAAATTTCTTTTTCTAGAGTCACAGAAGTTATCATAAAGGAGAAAAAGTAGAAGATAAAATGATGAATATATTTTCCTTATTTCAATCGCAATCATAGATTTCGAAAAGATATAAAAAACGGGATGCTTCATTGAAAAAAGTTAGTTTGTGCTTCGTCACGCTTTCAGGGATCACCCTGTGAAACTTCTGATAAGGTCCGTGGACAGCCTCATTGCGGCTTTTTTTCTCAGTGACAATTTATTTCATGTATCAAAAATTACATAAGCCGCTGTGATTGTGTCATTATGACAGCGAAAAAACTTTGCCCTGGGTTTTCCAGCGACAAAACGAAACTTAGCTTTTGAAACCATGACAACCAGAATTGTGAACGAATCTTTGATGGCGTTTGTGTCAATGATTCCCAATCTTACTTCTGCTTCTGCTATTCTTCCGTTCTGAACTAACTGACTTAGTCGACTTGAACTGAATCAGAAAGTGTATTGTCCATATTATTTATGAAAAAAAAAGGTTTTCAATAAACAATATTTTATAATGATACTACATAATGACACATTAGAAAGAATAGTTACATGGATCATTTAGTCCTAAATATCCTTATTTTCAACAATACAAAATTCGTGCGAAAAAGTAACTTTTCAGCAATAGTGCGGTAAAGTAACTTTTCTGCACGATATTTTCATGGACTGAAAATTAATTAAATAGATTTTTTTTTCATCGATATAATAGGAAACTTATTTGGAGAACATTTAAATAACAATAACTAAAACATTAACGATGGTAAATATCGAAATTGAAAGTGCAATTTGTGTTTGTTGCATGATGTAATATAGCAGATGCCACAACATCTTGAAGAACGTCGATTCTTATTTGAATTTGATTGGTTAGTGTTTGCATCAATTATTTCCGGGGGGAGATCTTGAAAGTTTCCTGAGTTGTCCATTTCTAATTGGAATTACGTACACGGAAAATTTGCGCCTGAAATGCTTATTTGTTGACTGCCACTACTATCAGTTTACGACTGTTGCTATGGGTACGTCCTGGTACCAACAGTTATCAACACATGTCTCCTGGTATTTCCTTCGAAAGGGTGCGGAAAAGTCAAAATAATGCGAAAAAGTAAAATCATACAGAAAAGTACGAAAAATCATGTGAAAATGTTACTTTTTCTACGGCTATAACTGCACAAAATTGCTATCATTCCGTGCTCGTTAAACAATATACTATTTCCGCACGCTCGTAGGAAAATTATCTAATCTGTGGAAATGTCGCGATTTGGAGTTTTTGAGTGAATGTCATTGTGAGCCACCGGTTTTTTTAAGTTTCATATTTTTATTAGATTGAACTATTGAAATAACAACTGTTTTATCCTTTGTTAAATTTTTGTATCTAGCTTAGTTTTTGAGGAAACAATAAAAATTCGATTAGACTCCAAATTTTAATGTATATAGGTGTTTTGAAGACTTACATTGATATTACTCAATAACCCCAATTAGAATCATTTTGAAATTTTGGGGCTTTTTCAGTCTCCAACCATACTGAATTTTGGCACCATGAAAGCTCATACAGGGGGGTTATACCGGGTGACACAGGTTATCGGGCCACCCCTGTAACTTCTGCATTCGTCAACGGAGTTTTCTGAAATTCGGTATAGTTATATAAGCAACTATTTCGAATTTGATCACATTACAATCCAATGTGGCGGACTTCCGGTTTTTCTGGAAATGCCAGCAATTTTGTTTTTTCAAATGGAACACCCTGTATATTTTTACATATTCAAGTTCAACAGGTCAAAACAAGTGCAATCTTGATATCAAATGTCATTTATTCCACAGCCTACCTAGTTGAAAAATTATTCTAACTGCAAGGAAATTCATAAACTAGTTGTTGATTTTTGAATGTATACAATTTGTAACTGCACCGAAAAACAAAAATGATATGTCATTTTGTTCCTTAATGTATGTTCTAGAGAGACGGGTAGGTGGCCCATAGGGGTTCCATTTGAAAAAAAATAATTTTTGATCAAAAAGTGATGTGGCTGAATTGATTCCTGGATAAGTGACACAAAAAATAATTTTTCAGAAAAAATTCTGTTCTTCTGTTATGTGTGACTCATTGTGAATAGTCTTGACCACATCTCATTTATCCACGAGGTAAAATGAAAAAACAATTTTAATTTAAATTTGTTCAAAAAAATGACATTTGAAATAAAGATTGCACTTGTTTCGACCTGTTGAACTTGAATATGTAAAAATATAGAGGGTGTTCCATTTGAAAAAACAAAGTTGCTGGCATTTCCAGAAATACCGGAGGTCCGCCATATTGGATTGTAATGTGATCAAATCCGAAATAATTGCTTATACTGTACCGAATTTCAGAAAAGTCCGTTGACGAATGCAGAAGTTACAGGGGTGGCCTGATACCCTGTGTCGGTATATAAAAACAATTAATACTTCTAACATCCTGTATCTCAAAAACGGAGCAAGCTAGGGCACATGCTTATGTGAACTTCATTTGCTAGAATATCACAAGGAACCACCCCTTAATTTTTTTTTTCGGTGTCATTTAGATACACCCTGTATAAAAACTCCCCAATTTCCACCTTCCACTAAATGGATATGAGCTCGCCGAATTGGAAGCCACGTGGGTGAGGTTATATTGAAAACTCAGGGTCTCGAATCATCTCTTACCGTTCGGCGTATGTCGTAAGTTGTAATTGAAAAAAAAATCGGGTGGACGGCATTGCCGAAGGTGTAGGGTGGATACGATGTGCAGTGGCGCTGTATATTGTTGTATAAACAATTTTTAAATAAAATTCATCATTTGTGAATATTCTGCATTCTGTTAATTCTACCAATTATTCATAAAAACTGGAGATACTATGATCGCCGAACATTTTGATTGGATCTCAAGGGTGTAGAGTATGCGTGTATCGTACATTAATGTTTGGCATTGATTACATATAATTGAAAAAAAAATGGAAAGTATAAAACATATATGCCGAATAAATTAAGTGGATATTGATCTTCGTAAATTCGTTCATTAAATCCAATTTTCGATAACAATATTATTCGTTATCATAATAGTATAATAGATGTAATTATGTAACCCCCGAATGAAATGATTTGACCTATTTTATACTACAAACGAAGAAAGAATCCGTCCGTCGTTTATTCCGTTGTTTTGAAAATTTGTTATGACGAATTGATTTTTCCTTTCCATTTATATAAAACAGTTCTAACCATTTTATTAGGGGGTTTCATGATGTTTATCATACTATGAATTGGTATTGTTAACGAAAATTGACTACGAAGGTCGATATCCACTACTCGGCACGTATTTTTGATAATTCCATGTTATTATTTTTCTACTCACATAACTAAGATGGCATTTAGCGTACGGATATGATTCATCATAAATGTCCCCCCCTCTAGCTCACTTATTTTTGAATTGTTTTAAAAATTTGAAAGAATCTATAATGATTTTTCAGAATTTTTTTCCCGTTTCATCAGAAAATACAGGGTGCTCGGAACAAACGATCTACAGAGTAAATAGTGCCCTGTAGATCGTTTGTTCCGAGCACCCTCTATTTTCTGATCTAGCGGAAAAAAACTTTATCGAAAATCATTCAAGATGATATTTCAAATTATAAAATCGGTTCAAAAATAACTGAGCTAGAGGGGGGGACATTTATGGTGAATCACCCTGTACCACGCTAAATGATCGATTAATCACGGATTGTCGATCTGTGATTTATTCAAAATATTAAACACATCACCATGGAAACACGATTTCTTAAACACATTACCATGGCAACACAGTTCATTAAACACAGCTTCAGTAATTTGAGACATGTCTGGCCTGTCAATAGTGTCAATTGTATTAACTTTCAACTGTTATTTTCAAATTTTGTATCAGAATTATTCAAACAATATTCGTTTTTATCAGAATTCTTCATTAAAAATATATGCGAAATGTAGACGAAAGTGAAATCGAAGAGAATGTTCTGGTACTTGCATATCTCCAAGAAGTGTAAAAATGAAGCATCCATTATTGAGAACAATTTATTTATTCTGCGCTAAACATGACAATAAACGTGAAACAAAGGTTAGTAAGCAATGGACTAGAAACATCTACAACCATCGAGGAAATAATTATATAAAATCAATGCCGAACATAGTGTGTGATACACGCATACTCTACACCCTTGAGACCAAAGTACGCTAGGGTGTTTGGTCCCCGATCCAACGAAAATGTTCGGCAATCATATTATCTGCAGTTTTCGTGAACAATTCTTTGAATTAACAGAATGCCGAACATTAACAAATGTTAATTTCAATTAAAAAATTATTCACAATATACAGCGCCACTGCGCATCTTATCCAGTAACTTGCGACATACGCCGAACGGTAAGTAATGATTCGAGACCCCGGGTTTTTCAATACAACTTCTTTGGTCCACGTTTTTTATTCGGCCAGCTCATATCCGTTTGGTGATAAGTGGAATTTGTGGGGTTCTTCAGGGCCTATTCTATCGGTGAGATAGAGTAGGCCCTGGTGAGACACGGCCTGCATACTGCTGAGTGTGAATAAATGAGACACAAAAACACGTTATGGGCTCTCGGTCTATAAAGCCCAAGAAAAAAACCATCCTCCGTCACGTTTCTGTCTTTTGGAGTCGTTCATGGTCCAGGAATGTATCGGAGCAGGAGGAAAGACGATACCTCACAAAATTCTCGATAAAATCACAAAATGCTGACGGCGACATTGCTTGCAGGTTCCCAATATGAGCGTCATTATAAGATTGCAGAATCTGCCGTGGTCCGCTAATGCCCTTGACATTCGCCAGTACTTCCAGGGCCTCAGCATACCCGAAGGAGGGGTGCACATCGTCGGAGGAGAGTTAGGGGACGCCTTCATCGCTTTCAGGTACAAGGGGTGAAAAGCAGTAAGCCACCGAATCGGTACAATGGTGTTGCGAAGTAAGAGCCACAATGCTCGAACAAAAAATTATTTATTGGAGATATTTGAAATCAATGAATCAATTAACACGTTTTATGCCACGTATGGCTGAAGTAGGAGGCTCTGAGAAACCAAGACTAGGTTTGAGTAAATTATTATTTTTTCAAGCGTAATTTGAGAATATAATATGGTCTTCCTAATTCATGCTGACGTTTTCAAGGTCACCAGCAGCTGTCCAGTTTACTGTACAGCGGGCTATACTTGGGGTTTTAGCATGTATAGCCCGCTGTCCAGTGAACTGGACATACACATCTCATGAAACAAAAAGTGAACTAAGTGTATTACTTATTCATTTCCTTTATTGAACACAAAAAAGTAAAAATGAGATCAAATCTAGATATGAGAAATCTAAATTAACGATGCATTCCAATTTTTGAAGCAAGGATTGACACATAAACCAGGTTTTTCCGGGCGAACTGGGCAAAAATTACAATTTTTTTTTTCTTTCATCTTCGAGCATTGGCAACATCTTTTCATTTCGGATATTTTTTCTGTTGATTGATTCGGCTCAAAGAAATTGAATTTGTTTGTTTCTGTTGTTTCGGCTTGAGGAGTTTCAACGAAAGTTTCTATTTGCTGATCCATAAGTTTCATAATTATTTCTTCACGAAAGTCCAAGAGTCTGACATTTTTATTGTGATGAAAATTATAAATCTAATAAGTATTTCACATGCGCAAATCCAACAAATGGAAATTGAATTTGCGCTAACCTCAAGGTTTTTCTTGGAGTGGAATAATACATCATTTGGTCGGAGCGGTCAATACCTGAGATGTGTTTATTATAATCAAAATCAATAACACATGCAGGTTTAATCTTCTTCTCATTAGCTCTCTGTTCTTGAATTTCAACCACCGAATGTTTATGCAAAGTACTTATCATTCGGTCATTTCAACAAAATTAGGCAGGCCTTACCTTGGGCTTGCGTCATTATCACTTGTAGATATGAAAAATCACTAAACTTTAAACTTTTCCAAACGTTCACCAAAAGTTGCTTTGGCTGATGATACGACTATTTACTACTCGAATCAGCTCGAAAATCAGCCAATTATCATGACCAAATGCGCGAAGAAGAAATTGCGAACCATGTGATTCGCCCTATGCATGTTGCCACATTTATTCTGATATTTTTATCCCAATTCCAAAAACAAACAAAGAAATCCTCAACTATATCCCGTACTATACATATGAAACCAACTTCGTGGTCCGACACCAAAAGATAGTGCATACTCGCTGTTTAAACGCGTCCAAGTGACGCGGTATACGTGTGAAGATCTCGTTTGTCCAGTATACTGGACAATGGCATTCGAGGTGTTGAAGACTTCAACATTATATCCTTGAATGAACAAACAAATTTTGATTGCCAAAAATGTTTCAATGCCCTCAAATTCAAACTAGGATTCTCTCCTTGGTTAGTACTTTGCCTTATCTCGAATCCTTTTTCAGTTTGCCTGGTTGTTTCAAAAATTTTTCTTAACATTTTTTTTATCTATTCGACATGTGACTCATTACGGTCCTGACTCATTACGGCCCTGCTTCTTTCTCGCCTCTCGTCTGATATTCTTTGTTCATGCCACAGGATAGTTTTGTGTCACTTTTTGCATACTTCACGCATCCCATGTCAAGTTAAAACTCCCCTTCACCACTTTACCACGTCATGGTAACCATGATTCTCTTGAGGCCCCATTCGATTTTTAATTACTTGGATGACCGGTGCCCTCCATAAAGCCCCTTGGGCCAAGGTATACTTCAATAAAAAACTTTTCTTTGTAGAAATTGTCTTAAAATGCTTCTGCTGATGATGGACTATTGATAGTCCGAAATGTGGTCAGCTACTGATAATTCTGATAATAAATTTGTGGAGATGACTTGGTGTGTCTTGCGTATGAAAAAAAATACATATTGCATGGGCAAAAATGCGCCGTAAGGGTAGGGATTCAAGGTCGAATGCCTTCAAATTGAAAATTAGATTATTCCACAGTGAAAACTTCATCACATGATTTTTTATATAATATGTATAATCAGATGGAGTTTTTCATTTTTCATGTTCTTATTGTTCCTTTCTATGAAAAATGAGTTGATAGTGGAAAGTATCGTGATAACAACCCCCCTCGATTCTTTTGGTTCGAGAGATATGAAACGACCCCAAGTTTCATTTCGTGATATTGTTCTATACAGTGTGTCCCGCTTTTCATGAATACACCCTGATATCTCAGTTATTTATGATGCTATTCTCTTGAAATTTTAGTGGTAATTGTATGTTAGAACAATGAAGTATTAAGCAGAAGGAACAGTTTCATTCACCATTGGCCTATTTTAAATAACTGTTTTTATCAGATTCAGAATCAGCAAACCCCAAAAACCCCCCAATTCATATTTTCAAAATCTCAAGAAAAATTCAAAATCCTGCTTTTCATGACTACGCTCCAAAATCTCCGTTATTAATGATGCGATTTTCTCGAAACTGTGATGGTGATTAAGTATATGTTATTCTTTTAACAAAAGCGGGAATTTTGAAATATTTTATTTAAGCTCTTGGGATCTTGAAAACATGTATTGGGGGGTTTTTGGGGATGCTGATTATGAATCTGATAAAAAAAGTAATTTAAAATGAGTCCTAATATCCTTTTCCCAAATAAAGGCCTTTTTTGTACCCCTCAACATCGCACGCCAATGGTGAATGAAACTGTTCATTCTGCTAAATACTTCCTTATTCTAAAATACAATCACTACAAAAATTTCAAGAGAATCGCACCATTAATAACTGATATAATATCAGGGTGTATTCATGGAAGGCGAGACACACTGTATACAGGGTCATTCGTTTTTTCCGAAGAGGACATGAACTTTGATTTTTTCAATGGAACACCCTATATATTTTCAGACATGTCGATAGGACCTATTGTTTAAGCTTCAGGGACATGACAGGATATTATTTATTATGAAATTGAAATCATTCAATCTCAATACAAAAAAATATGAATGGACAATTCGAATGGAAGATGCGGTATTTTGGTAAACTTTGATCATCAATAACTCAATCAATTCATTGAAGTTACTGTCCTTTCCGGAAAAACGAATGGATTTTGTTGTCATAATATGCCATCTTGGATAGTTTCAATAGAGTAACGTCGCTGCCAAATTTCAGAAAATTTAGATGAATCATTTCTGAAAAATCGGTCATCGAAGTTCTATGGCAATTTCACATATCCTGCATCTTCGTTATAGATGGCCAAAAAAACTTTTCATATACATACATCAACTCGTCTTTATTTCCTCTATCTCCCATTTGGCTATGCGACACTCCTCATGAATCACCCTGTATTTTCACCTCATCCGATTTCACAATATTCACTTTATAATAACTTACTATACAGGGTGTTTTAAGTTTGTGAAAAAATCAGAGTAGAATTCTTTCAGAAATATAAGTAAATAGTTTTCGATTTACACGGTGTCAAAAATTTTCAAATATGAACGTTTTTTCATGAATTTCTGAAATAAAACCTATCGATTTCATTTGATTTCGTTAGGTCTGTTTTCAATAACAAACTAATCCCTCTGCGGATGTAATTGGAATTTGTTCCTATATTCCAGTGGGGTCCTGAGGAGTAACTGAGCGGATGATATGAAAAAATAATTCCACTGTTTTTTTGAGCAACTCAAATAACTTTTTGAGGTTCAGCAACTCAAATAACTTTTTGAGGTTCAGCACATCAAAATACAATCTTTATTTGTTTTGAAATCCGTTCGTATTGTTTTGATCACTTGAACATGTCAGTGTCAAAGCAGCTATCATATTATCAGCTGTCATGCGACACGTTTCTAGTTCCTAGGAGTTAAACTTCAGCTCTAGTTCCATACATGTTTATCGTTTAATTGTGTCAGTAAGAGAAACGTCAACTCCAAGAGCTTATTTTGGAACAAAAGTGGACGACTTCTGAGTCGATTGCAGAAAAATTATACTAGCGCATTTCTTTGTCCTCCACTGGATTCAAAAACTCCCATTCAATATCATTTCCAGAATTTTGATGAAATATTTATTAGCTTACGCGATAAAAACTCAGGACCTCGCAAATACAGCACTCCAAGTGTCATCGACATATTGATGCTATGAAATAAGTATGCAGGTAGGCATCAGTCAGCTGAAGCAGTTGTCCCCAACTGCTGCAGTTCAGATTTCAAATACACGTTGTGCTTTCTTTCCTTCTCACCGTTCGAAATTGGATCGGACTGAAACATTTCTTCTTCCGCAGCACCGACGAAGACGCCCGGCAAGCCTTCAACCGCAACAATGGCAAAATCCGAGAAGTCCAAATCACCCTCATGCTCAGCTCGCGCACCGAAATGCAGCGCGTCATCGAGCAGGCCCGATCCCAATCGCTGGCCGCTTTCATGCAACCAGCGCCCACAGTAGTACCAATCCCCACCGCCGTACCCTTCGTACCGCCCGTCGAAACAAAGAAAGAAAGCAAAGAACGAGACAGAGGACGCGACAGCAGGTCCAGGCGATCCCGATCGAAATCGCGCGACAAGAAAGACAGGTCTAGCAAGGAACGCGATCGGAAGGACAAAAGGTACCGTGACAGGAGCCGGTCGAGGTCAAGGGACAGGAAAAGCAGCAGGAGGCGCGACAGGAGCAGAGGACGGTCTCGATCGAGGGACAAGGAGCGCCGAAGCAGGGATCGCCGCAGCAGTAGACGGTCGGAGGAGAGACCTCAGCCTGCCCAGAGGGAGCAGCGGAAGCCCATGCCGGAAGTGTGGGCCACGCAGCCCAAGCCCCTGGAGATAATACCGCCGGCTCCACAACCTCCGAGTTTGCTCACTGCCACCTTTCCTGGTCTGGATCAGGCCAGTAGAACGCTTAGTAATATAGCTATGGGGCTGCAAGGGCGCGATAATGGTTACTCGCCACCGAACAACTTCAGCAACGGAAATAGAGTGAACAGAGAAAGCTGGCCGCCCGCGAATCAAAGCAACTTTGTTAACGACAACTTGTCCAACAGCTACAATGAAGTACAAGACACCTTCCAGAATCGATTCCAGAACAACGATTTCCAATCGAGGAACACCAATCGGTTGGAATACGAGACCGGCGGGTGTTGTATCGCTTTGGAGCCGTTCTATGGGGGATATGGAGACATCAGAAGGTTCTTCCAAGGTATGTTTATCGGCCAGAATGGAATCAAGTTCATCAACGACTCCAACGGAAGGAGGACCGGCGTCGTTTACGTCAAGTTCTCCAACAGGATGATGAAAGAAGAGGGCTTGGACTTGAACGGAGAAAATCTCAACGGCATCACGGTGACTGTTAGCCACGTGTCGGACGAAGAATATGATAACGCCGTCGATAGATTCATACCCATGACCGACAACCCCGACAACAGGTACAAAAGCCGAAACATCTCCAAGTTGTTCAACAACGCACCGCCCGAACCGACCATCAAGAACTACACTTGCCTGGTGGTGGACGAGCTGCCGACGTACTGCAAAGAACAAGACATTCTGCACATGTTCTCGCAACACCCGCTCGTCGCTCTGATATTGACGACCAAGCCGAAGGGAGGCCACATCGCCTACGTGAAGTTCAGCAGCGAAGACGTGGCGAAGAAAGCGCACGACGAAAAAACCCACCATATCGTCCAAGGCAAGCCGGTCACCGTGAAACCGTGCAAGGACGAGGAATTCGACGAGATCAACAAGCAGCACGAAGTCAACTTGGACACCACAGCACCGAGTGACGTAGGCACCGACTGTCTGAGCGTGTCCCGGCTGCCGCAAAAAACCACCGACAAAGACATCGCCGATTTCTTTTCAGACATCGGAGTGATCCCCACCAAAATCCACCTAATGAGCAACAACGTCGGATTCACCGGCCAGGCCTACTGCGAATTCTTGACTACCGAGGAAGCGTCGCGAGCCGCCAAGAAGAACGAGACCATCCTCAACAACGTCTCGATCTCGGTGACGCCACTCAAGAGGGAAGAGATGGACAGCATCCTGGGCACTACGGTGCCTGCCCCTAGCGAGCCTGTGCCTTGCGAACCGCCCGCTCCGGAACCGGAAATTAGACGGCCCCCGCCTCTCGTCTCGAAATTCACCCCCCCGCCGGTGATGGCCGGCAATTTCGGCATGCGGGGGGCAGGCAGGGGTTTCCCGAATCGGACCTATGAGCCGGCCAGAGGAGGCCCGAGGTTCGGGCCTAGAGGGCCGCCCCCGCGGGTCAGGTTCGGGCAGCAGTCCGATGGTGGGGAGGACGTTCCGGGAGGGTGCACGGTGTACATAAAGAACGTGCCGTACAAGGCGAACACTAACGATATTTTGGAGTTTTTCGAGGGATACCATCATACAGGGAACGTCAGTAGGCGATATAATCCTAACAACACCCCGACGGATGAGGCAAGAGTTACATTTTTTGATCCTGAAGAAGCTTCGAGGGCTCTCAGAGATTTGAACAAATGTACGATATGGGGCCGGCAGGTGTTTTTGAGACAGGAATGATGAGCGGGATCAGAGTGTCTGCAGGTTGTACATAAGTTATTTTATACGAAATCGAGTAATTGAGTGCAGTAGCCGACCGAGTATTGGCTGAAGGACAGGTACAAACCGAATACGTTTTGTAAAATGAGATATAAGTTATTTATGTATTCAGTTATGTATGTTCAGTACTGATCGCTACTATATTAGTAGTAGTTTAAGAGTTAGTAGATACTGGTTGGTCATTATTGTTTGAATTATTTATGGAGATTTTGTAACACAGATTCGAATTTCTTGATTGACAAAAGTATGTGATCTGTAGCTACACTCTTACCCCTTTTTTTATAATTCAGTCCATGACGACCACTAGTTTCTATAATTAAATGGTTATATTCGCCAGGATTAATAGTTTTGTCAATTGTTTTTTTTTATACTTTTTTTTATAGTTTACGAGGATATACCTCGATGGCTGAATCAAAAGTTGAACGGTGTTGAATATAATTTTATTAAAAATTATAGGTAACTAACCAATTATGTTATTACTTGTCATTACAGGTTTAATATTATAAATTCAGATCGTATCTCAATAAGGTACATTTGAAAACAAGTATGACACGGATTCGCCATTGTGAGTTCTCCTCACGGCTTCTGCAAACATCATGGAAACATCAATGCACTGAAAAAAAAAAATACATTGTTATTTCAACAGAAAAAATTATAAGAATTGGATTCTTCAAGAAAAAAAAACATCATTTGGACTGACGTACTTCTATATTGCTGAAAAAATAGGATATTTTATATGTGCACAACTTAAATTGACACTGAAGAGATATTTCATTTCCATTTCCCGTTAAACCCGGTTAAAGCATTTAGGTGAAGGTGGTAGGAGGCAACTACGTCATAATGACGTAAATATTAAGTATTCTTGAAGTGTATTTCTTACTTCGACATCTACTGCATTCATGTTTAATCTGAGTATTCCCATCATATCCTCAATTTATTTTATTCGTCATTTGTAAACAAATATTCAAGTTTACCTTTGATCACCATTTCCAGCTATGGAGTTAGTAAACCCAAGGGCAGGTAGGGGAGGTGAACTCAAACGGAAATGACGTCACGGTTAAACACAATGAAATGGGATTATCAGCTTTAACCATGATGGGTAATGTGAATGAAATATAATAATAATAATAATAATAAACGCTTTTATTGGTAGAAACAAGAATAAATATACAAAATAATTACAAAAATATGTGCAATTCTACCAAAGGACAGAGTTAGCTTTTGTCTGATCCCTAAGGAAACAGACAAGTGCTTTCTTCCACTCATATCCCTCAAGACTCAAAAAGACATTATTCAGGCATTCTCCTTTGGAGGTTATGTCAATATTAGAAGTTGTGGAGATGACAGGGTTTTTTTCTTCAACTACTCCACACCACTATATAATCAATATACAGTGTCCACCATGAAGTTCATAACATATGGAACAAAAATGAGTATTGGAAAAATCAATCCAGGTTACAACTGAACAAGAAAAAATTTGAATAGCTCTCTCTTTCTAGAGTTTTTTCAGATCTTTTAATGATTATCATTTGTTTCACAAGAAAGCTCGATAAAATGAAATAATTTTTGTTGATCTCCTCAACGTTACATTTGTCCACAGAATTCCACAACTATTGCGAAAATAATGGCACCCCAAAAACATCACTTTTCAGATAAGGTTCCAGTTCCACTGAAAATCGTACATGAAATATTTTCATCGATTTAGTGATGATGTCTGATAAGAGAATGATAATCAACTTCGTGAACTGAGACACGAAATGTCAGCATATTTTGACTTCTGCGCGGTAATCTTTGGAGAGCAGCAATAACTCTTTGTGCTATAAATAAACGAAATTTTTTTTCTACAAATGCAGCTCTAACGAAAAAAAAGAAAGGAATAATCAATACTGGCCCGCCCAGGGTTGAACCGATTGGTGAACTCAGCTTCAAATAAAACTCTTATCAAACAAACAATTCAAGATTCTGCTTCTCTGACTTGTCTAAAGCCTACTTGAAATTCACGTTCAAAATAAGCTAGTAACACGTTTTCTGCATACTTATTCACCTTCTTGGAATGTAACCAATTGATGAATGACTAATGACATATTCTTGTCTTTGGCAAAACATATGAACCACTTCAAATTCATTTGTGGTTATACCTAATCCTCACTACTTCTTGTCGAGCGTCCGTACTATATACGAAAAAATTCATCAAGATTCTTCAAGGTGGATTTATGCAGCCACATTTAACAATCATCCTTCAAGAGTTGAACTTCCTGTTTTCAGTGAGTATGTTTATGCAGACATTTAACAATGTGCGAGTGGACTGGTAGTGAATAATTGGCATTACTTCACTCTTCATCAATTACACGTTTTTGATGTTGATAATGTGTCTATGAATTGTTAGAAAATGTTTTTTTCAGAGCACATTCCAAACGTGACGTCATGGCCGCCATTTGTCCACGTTCTTCGATACGTCGGAAATATGTTGACACGGGAAAAATATTAGACTTTAGCTCACAACCTGGAGCTAAAATCTACTACTTTTTCCCCTTGTATACTAAATAAATATTATTGAATTTTCTGAATAGAATGTACAAATACATTTTAGGTAAACTTGGGATACTTCCATTCATTCATTATCACTGATTTCTGATGTGGACTTTTCTCTGGCAGAAAACTCTGGTGATATTCTCGGATTTCTTCAGGAAACCATTGATCGATAGTGACAAAAAACCAAGAATACAATGAGTTCTGTTGACAACCACCTGTTGCAAATCATAAACAATTCTGAAGATACAGTGCAAAAACCAGTAAAGTCCAGGACTTGACCGATTTATGCAAAGAATGAAAATGTAGACAACCAATTCAACACTCTAGTTTCCAAGCCGATGAACCTACACAACTCTTTCATGCATTAACCGATACAGAATATAAAACTGTGCATTAACATGTCCTTAACCACAGTATATTATCCTTTCCTTGATTAATTTGATAAAAAAAAATGGACTTGACTGGTTTATGCATAGGACCCCTCAATTATTGTAAACAACTTTGAAAGGTTATGGCGTTGATAGCCTGTATTTCGGACAGGTGCACTTGTTCATTGATAAATTATTGTTAATTTTGTATGCATAATAATTGATAAGTGTTACTTTGTAACTGCATAAATCCACGTTGTGTTCCGAAAATCTCCACCTGCAGAAACTATCAGCGAAACACATGACCCACCTGAACTTTTGAGCAGTCCTTCATATGCCTGTCCTGCGGAATGGTGTTGGTGACGACCACGGCCTCGAAGCAAGCGTTGTTTATCCGCGAAATGGCCGGTCCGGAGAAGATGCCGTGCGTCAAGATGGCGTACACCTTAGTCGCACCGGCCTCCATCAGCTTCTCGGCCGCGTGGCAGATCGTGCCGCAAGTGTCGGCCATGTCGTCCACCAAAATGGCCACTCTGTCTTTGACGTCGCCCACCAGGACCATGGAGGCGACCTGAGAAATTCGAAATTATTAATTTTCCATGTAGTTTCAGGTTGGACAACGTTCGAATCTTATCATGAATGTTTGTTTATTGTTTATTGAGAAACTAGCTTCCAGTCAGAAATAGAACTCTGGTATGAGGAAGTTGATTACAAACAACAATAATAAAATAATATGAGGTGACAACAACAACAAAAAATACTAAAAAATATAAAAATGCTAAATCGATCAAGTCATAAAAATAGCCACAGGGACTAATCAGTCGGAAGATCATTTTCAATACCTAACATAAATGGTGCACTTGTTAAGCGTTCTTGTTCTCTGCTCTGATAATATCTTGCTCGTATCATGGTACCCAAATAGTGGTTCAAAATCCACTAGGAGCTATGTAGTCGTCTAGCACTTCTCAACTACGCATGAACATGCACATTCAGACTTAGGCCCTCCGCACACGGGTCGATCGGCGACATGGGCGACGCGATTCGAATCGTACGACGGTCTCCCCTCTACTCGACTTCCTAAGCAAAGCATTTGGATCTCGCACACGGGTCGTTTAGTGGTCGTCTAGGAACGCACGATTTAAGATCTCGTTTTCAGTCTCACGCGATTAGCAAGGAAGCAGTTTGATCGAGTGAATCTTGCGTCTCAATGGAGAAAGTTGTTCAATGATTTTTCAATCATTGTGAATATTTGTGTTACCTACCTTAGTTCTTTACTTTCAGTAACTAGAACATATAATCTTAAGTTTCCAATTTATACTCTCAACTTTAGGAACTGTTTGATTTTTTGAAATATATGAATCTTACATCAATGTTATTAGTATGTGTTCTTCTGCGCTGACACATTCCCTCATATTTGAATCCATATAATTTATGGCTGGAGCAAAAGTTTCCACTAAATCAATACAATATATGATTCCTTCGACATTCTATAAAATGCCAGAAATTTTGTGTCACTCTCTTGCATTTCACTTGCAGTAACAAAAAGTCGAGTGTGAAAATTTCGTGCAATGTACGGATGCACCTATAAACTTCGTTGTCTTCTTCTTCTCCTGATCTGCCGGTGCCACAAAAACATGAATATGTCCTCCTCGCCATTAGAACTGCCCATTTTTAGCGAAACATTTCTTTTTGAAGTTGCAAAAAATAGAGTAACTAAGTTGATCAGACGCGAGTCGACTACACAAAACGTCGACCCATATGCGGATGACACACACTCCCGTCTCTTGAATCGTACGAATGCAGAAATTGTGACGTCATTGCAATCGCGTCGCCCATGTCGCCGATCGACCCGTGTGCCCCGGGCCTTAGGATTTCAACTTTGAAGAAGTGATACACGAACAATATATTCAACTCTGATATACATGCATCAATATCTGGTACATCAGAGTTCCACAAAGTGACTATATGTTTTCACAAAATTATTATGAGAGTTCGTATACGAAGATGATCTAAAGAATTTTTTGTTGAACAGGGATGTGAAATCAGTCAGTCAATTCAGTAAGTTGCTGCTATTTCATCATCAGATTATCGACCATGATCTCCTATTGTGATATCTGCTCCATCATTCCATCACAAGCAATAACCAGAGTCTAAATTGGAATAAGCTTCTTTTGGATACTCGCTCAGTTTATAAATTGTGGGTTTTTCTCTGTCTTTCTCTCAATACGATCCTATTCTTCAACTTCCTACCAAGAAATTTAAATACCTCGCAAATTTTGTGGCCTGAACCTATATTCCATGCCGGCTGCATCATATTCTGTTTCCATTTTTGTAGAATTACGTTATCCGATGGAAATTCGAATAGAGTGAATTGATTTCCCGTGTTCTCACAGTTGGAAACTGCACAAACTTGCATCTTTCTCCTAATTCTCTCAATTTGTCAAACCTTTGAAATTTATGTCATGTACGCCCGTGTATTGTCAGTTCCCGCTTTTTTCATCAATTTATTTGTGGTTATGTCTGATTGTCATAGTGTCCGTACTCTGACATACAAAAACTGTCAAAATCAGCAGTGTCGAGTACATTCAGGAACTCTCGCCTTACCTCGTTCGCCTTCCGCCGCTCCTTGTGGATGAGCGCAAACTCCACGTTCAGCCTGTCGGCGATAGAGGTCACCCGCTTTGCCCCACCAGCGTCAGGCGACACGATGATGCTGTTCCGCCATTCGGCGATGTTCTCCTTGATCCACTTCAGCACGGCCGGCTCCGCGTACAGGTTGTCCACCGGGATGTCGAAGAAGCCCTGGATCTGCGAGGCGTGCAGGTCCATGGTGATGATGTGATCGGCGCCCGCCACCGATAGCATGTTGGCCACCAGCTTGGCGGAGATGGGGGCGCGGCTCTGCGGGGAAAAAGATAATCCAAGAACCGTTTTTGTCGCGTGGTGGGTTGAAGGTTGTGACACAAGGCGAAAAAGTAAGGACCGAAGAATAGGCCGCGTGCACGATGACCGACCCTGGTAAAACATCGAAACACAACCTCACTTTCCTTATTTGTTTACAAAGGAATCAAAGGACTCAAATAGTTTTTCACATTATTTTAGGATATGAATCGTGTTTTTTGGCCTATTCATCAATTAATAATAATAATAATAATGTGTTTTCATTTTTCATTCATAAGGAGGAGGCGGCATTCAACAAGGTTGCTCTTCCATACAACTCCCTAAGTATTCGACAAGTTGAAAGGCTATTTTCAATTAATTTATGAAAAATGATTCTCCTACTATTGTAATATTATACTAAAGGTACACTACACATAGGGCACTAAATAAATATAACAGCTAAATGAATCAATCAATAATAATAATGGTAAATGGTAAATTCAAGCATGCCATCACATTGTGCTGTTGTACAATGCACAAAGAATGCAGTGAGAGACGAAGGAATATAATTTTCTAGGTAAATCTCAGTGATCTCACATAGTTTTTAATCTATGGTTTATATTCCTTCTGCAATAGAAGCTAATACTGCTAATAGAGTGAGAATCTCTACAACAGACACGATCATATTTCGTCAGCATGTCAGACGTCCTCCAGTTTGATTGCATGAATCCAACCTTCTTCTTTTAGAAACTTTACGAGTATTTCTAATAGCTCCTATTGCAGAAGGAATTCCAATAAGAAATGACAACATTTTAAAATGAAAACTATATGTGAGTGACTAGTACTTTTTGATCACGTACCTACCTGAAAAATCGGATTCCTTCGTCTCTCTCTGCATTTTTTGTGCAATATGCAAAAGCACAATGTGATGGCATGCTTGAATTAATTAATAGCAAAAAAACACGATAATAATTGTGAAAAATTATTTCAATCCTTCGTAACAAATAAGAAAAGTGAGGTTATGTTTCAATGTCTTACCTCCAGGGTCGGTCATCTGACAGATCTTGCACGTAACCCATAGAGAATAAATAGAGAATAAGGTAAACAACAAATAATAATTCCCAGACATCTGGTTTTATATCTTGGAACACACGATACCTCATGAGAAATGAGAAATAAGGAATGCAGAAACTTGTATTCCACATTCCTATTCCTTCAACCTTTTGACCAATCAGAACAGTTTCAACTCTCAATTTTTGTCTCAATATAAGAACATATTTTTATTTATAATGACAATGAGTTTTGTTTTATGAATAGGTCATTACTCAAAAGTACAAAAAAAACAAAATACAGATGAAAGAAATAAGAAGGAAATAATTTTTAATAATGAACATTCACCACCATCAAAATTGACAATGGTATCAAACGTCATTTACAAGCTGTTTATTGGTCAATATTGAATTCTATTCCTGCTTCGTTTCATTAATTCTGCTTCAAAAAGAAAATTACATCTATATTCCATATTATTCCCTGTTCTCTATTTTCTATTTCTTATTTATTTGCATTGTGTCACGACCTTTACGATGTGAAGTGCTCACGCTATTGACCTGTTGCAGGTGTCGATTTGATGTGTAATATATCTAATATGTATGAGGATGACAAGGAAATCAAAAGCCATGCCAGAGTACAAGACGAACGAAAGTCAGAAATATCACAATCAAGTTGTGCGCAAGCGTTAGTATGAAATGAGAAGCAATGTTTTCTCCTAACCTGTATCTAATAGGTACGATACCCTTACTGGCAAAAACAATCTAGAAGGAAATTTAGCCAAATTCCTCTCCGATATTGGTGGAATTTCGACGGAATCGTAGATTTGTTTCGGATTATTAGCCTGAATTACAGTTTTCAAGAAAAGCTAATGGCTTTATCATTACACAGGGAAAAACAAGTTACTCTCTTACACTTAACGCCCTGTGGCAGAAATGATTGGTTAAATTCAGTTTCATTTTGTTCTGGATTGAAATGTGATCCCTTCTTAACACAGTGATTTTTGGACAGTGTTCGCGCTATTGACTAGTACCGACTACCGAGTGTTGTTTTGATGTCATATATCTAATGATATCGATGAGGACGACAAGGAAATCAAGAGACATGCCAGAAAACAAGACGAATGAAAGTCGAAACTAGTGCAATCGATTTGTGCGCAAGCGCTAGTCTTCTGAACGTAGGATTATTATTAAAAATTTAGTGAATGCTACTAATTTTTGCATCCTGCATGACACACCGGCAAAAAACAAGCTAGAAGGAAATTTGCAGTAACTTTTTTAATTTCTCGTAGATTTATGTTTAGGAATATTAGCCTGAATTACAGTTCCCAAGAAAAGCTGATAGCTTGATCATTATACAGGAAAAAACAAAAGTTACTCTTCCACAACAGAGTTTTCACGCTGTTGACTTGTACCGGGTGTCGGTTTTGATATACAGATCGAATCGTTACATAAAGGAGTATTAGGAAAGATCAGCATTTGGCAACATTGCAGTTACGGAAAGAGATATGATCGACGTTCTTGTTTTCGTTGATACAAAAACGATGCTATTCATTGTCCGATTTTCATGGAATTCAAAGTAGATGAAAACAATCCGCAAGCCTGGCTCTGGAACTGTATTTCCATAGTAGTCCATCTAGAATAGTCTCAAAGAGTTATATCCTTTGGAAATTTCAGCTTATCAAAAGAACTCTGAAACATGTCTGGTCATCCAAATTATACGCCTGATTCACATAATATCATGTATTCAAAATGGATGTTAAATAAAAATCCCATATATAAACTTTTCAGTTCATCAATAGCAGACAATAAATGCTTGGGCATTAATTGTTTTTCAATCGCCCTGTTTACAATATATGATGATAGAAAGATGATAAAACCCAAAGTCATCCCCACAACTTTTATTTGAATGATCAGATATCATTCACGCAGGTAAAGATATCCTCAATAAATTATATATATTTTAAACGTTTCTCTAAGACCAATATTAAGGGATATCCTGTAATGTTCAGAGAACATCGTGAGAACCAAGGGAAATATGGTAGGAATTGGTGTTCTCCTTGAATTTCTGGAGGTTATATGCCTCAGGGAACACGAACACCTCCCTTGGCAATGTGTTCCAGAGCCTCGCCTTTCGTTGGATGAACGAGTCTTTGGAAAGAGATGTTCTGCAGGTCTCCAAAGTGACCACGAAGGGGTAGGAAGCCTCAACTCGACGGGTTAATCTCGCGGGGACTGCCAAGGGAGGTACAATTGTTGATATTTCAGAAGAGCTAAATATCCAGAATCCAGCAGTCGCACTTACTGTCGACACCATTGATGTTCGGTACCTCGTTTTGTTTACTGCGCATCCATAATTTCATGCCTTGCGCATCAAGCCATTATTTCCACACTTGAACACAAAATAACTAACAATAAGACATGACACGTCGGTACTTGGATATTTATTAGAATGCGTCTTTTGGGACTCGTAAGTCTCGCATATTTAGATGACGACAATGAATATAAGAAATATCTAACCTAATATCACGTGGGCACTTCGAAGGCGCAAATTCATTACTGCATGGGAGATACCCTCAAGATTGTCTGCTATTCAGTGACTTGACCACGAATGACATTGACGTTTTAGTGTTCTGCAAAACCAACATTTTAATGGAAAGACATAACTGGTTATATATGGACTTATATTAGCCCGAAACATGTACCTGCGCGATTAATATCTGATCATTCAAGTAAAAGATGACTGGCTTTTTTTTATCTTCGAACTATACCACTTCATTGAGTTACCACGGACTTTATGCATAATACTTTTTTGACAAATTACTGAAATCTTCTCAACTTGTAGTTGAATCCATAATAATTCAACTATTCATTATATTCAATCTACTGATTCGCGATATGTTGACAGTTCAAAAAGATGAGTAAACTGTCGAAAAGTTCTATTCTCGTGTTATCCACGATGGGCCGTTGAAGACATTTTACCGTGTTTCACTTAGTAACGAAACACTAGGTTGAAATGTACGTGAACCCTCAGCGAAAACCCTTTCAGAACTTCTGAGAAGTATGAAAAAGAGCTCAAACAATTGACCATATTTTCAAGGGTTAGACATTTCATATTGTGGGGCACTGTGGACGTCACTGTCTTAATTATTATACTTGGATCAGATCAAATACCATTTGATTTTTTATTGGGAATAAGACGAAGAATGACTACGTGGATCTTTCGCTTTTCCGAACTAATTATAATTGATATATGATAACAATTTGTCAGTAATTGCTACCATCAAATAACACAAAATCACTGATCCTACCCAAGTGAAATGAAATATGGTCAATAGCCCACGCACAGCTTTTAGTTAGGGACATGCATACAGACATGCTTTTGTCTATTGAAGCAAGGCAGTTTGGTTTTATATACAGTTTGTATACATTCATTCCGAGAGGTGATGGAGACTCACAATGGATATACAGAATATACCTCCAAATATGCACCATAATTGGAACAGAGGGCGATGAAGTTTGATGAGTGAAAAAAAACTTAATTACCCATCTCTAACCCTATATTTAAATCATGGTACATTTTGGAAGGGATGTTTATTGAGAAAAATTCACCTTATTTTGCGAGTCTCTATCAACTCCAAAATTATTGGAAAAAAATCTGTACCACAGTTTTTGTGGATCTTAGAGATCAATTAAAATAATAAAGATCCGGCATGATTCACAAAGTTATTCTGAAAGAACATCCACATACCTGGAATAGGATACTTTAATTTTCGCATCCTAAATAATTTAAATTGAATAGTTGGCTAGCTTGGTATTTATCACTTATTGTTGTACATTTCTATCAATTTTGATGACTTGTTATAAATTATTTCGAATTCGTATAATAAACAAACAACTGTTTGCCCTCAATCATGGGACAATCAATAGATAAGTCAATCAGATGGTAATGTCAACTTTTTTTCCAGTAGCAAATGAAAATAATTGGCATTTTTGTAGTTGACCTATGACCCTAATTTTGTCAATTAAAACCACTATATAGACCTTGTAATTACCTACTAATTGACCCCAATTTGAATATTTTGGAGCCTGAATAACTCTCGATATTATAAAACTCATATTCCAACATACATACTGAGTCCATATATCCACTTTTATCGGGTAATATTGTGACGTTATAAGTTGTTCATCAATTCTAGAAATATATCTCAATAAGTTCTTGATAACATCTAGATCTTTAACTAGATTTAGACATGTGGCAATATGAACTTGATTGATTTTCGAATATTCATTTTAAAACTATCGAATTTGCTTTGTTATTTGAATAGTTGTAGATAAAGTATAGTATTCTACTCATGCATGATAAATTACATAATTTTTCTAATCGTTCGAATCAGATGTATCAAAGTTCATTAATACACTAGTGATGTGAGAGTATCAGTAAATGGAAATGACGTATCTGAATACTGTCTTGGATGAATTTTGGTGAAATAATGCACCTTCATATTGTTTTATTGGTTTTATCACATTACTTAGTACCCTAAACAGTATTGATGCAGGTTGATTGCAATTATACTAAAATCATGCTGAAAATATTGGCCAAGAACATGCAAATTATCCAAAAGCTTAGTACAAACGCAGGAAGCCCATATCATAGTTCTCACTAATCGGTGTTCTAGTGGATTATATACACGGTGGGCAGACAAAAACTTCACACCCCAATTTTACGACTTTGAAAAAAATTAAAATGAATAGATGTGACGAGTATTACACCATACCTCATTTTGAAGATCTCATCGAGTACTATCTGGCCCTATAATTTCGCGCCGAAAGTTTCGTATCGCAATAATGAACGCTTTTGTTGAGGCATTTTATAAAAAAAACCGCTACAGTCTCGTATCATAATTTGAAAGCACTTTTTCTCGATTTTTCATCTGAAACAATAAGTTGACGTTTTGAAACAAAGAACTTTTCTCCCTGTATTTGCATATTCAAAAGATCTGCCTATATACACTTTTTCCATGTTGTTTCGAAATTATCCTATATTGAATTTGGCTGATGCATTAGTTGATCGTTTGGCCAATCATTATTTTGAATCATGTTTATAAAACTAGAAACACTGATTTATATGTTGATAAACACCGTAAACTGCTTATAATATTGCTGACATGATGATGTAAACTACTCTGTTTATTTCATTTGATAATGATTAACAATATTTTTCTAATGAAATGTGTTATGATAGCTGTCCCAATAAATAATCTACCTCTATATTGGACAATATCAGTTGATTAGCACATGGTTGGAACATTGATTTGTCCCTCTTTTCCATTCAATATGAACAAAACTCGAGTGTTTTTATTTAGAATAGCAATTTCAAATTTTGGGATTCCTACAAATTTTTTTCTTGAAAAAATGTTAACTGTTATCTGAAGAAGTTTAATGGTGAATTATTGAATCACCCTGTAGTAATAACAATCATGAAACCAAAAAATGAAATATACAGGGTGTCTGTAAAAGGTCTTTACAAAAACATACCACATATTCCTAAGACCAAAATAAGTCGATTTAAGTAAAATTACCTCAGTACAAAGTTGCATCGTTTGGGCTCCAGAGGGCCTTGAAGTTACAATTTTCAAATCGTTTTTCCCATATAAATTTAAAACAGCATATGCGATTTTGCTGAAATTTGGTATATTGATAGAGTTTTATGTGGCAAAAAAAATAGTGTTAAAATTTTGTCCGATAATAATACATAGGCGTAGGCATAGTAACTTGATTTTTTAAATAATTGCTCCTTTAAAAATTCTACGCCAATGAAAGAAAAGGAGTTTGAGTATGAAATTTAGATTGCGCAACTCATTCACTTTGAAAAAGGTACTCTTGATAAGACTCGATTGCTCTCATGGTTTTGACGAAATTTGCATTTTAGTAATTTTAGAACATAAACAATAATTATTAAAATACAAACTTTGTCAAAACCATGAGAGTAAATCGAGTGTTATCAAGGGTACTTTTTTGTAGTAAATGAGTACCCAATCCAAATTTCATACTCAAACTCCTTTTCTACCATTGGCGTAGAATTTTTAAAGGTGCAATTATATAAAAAATCAAGTTCTACGCCTATGTATTATTATTAATTTTCTTCGACGTATAAATCTTTGTATGCGTGAAAATGGTGAGAATTTTGAACAATTTTTGTAAAATCTTTATTTATTTTTATTATGTTGTAAATAAATATTTTTGTGAAACCTATACACTCTAGATTATTAAAACAGAAATTTAGCGAAAACCATGAGAGTAATCGAGTCTTATCAAGAGTACCTTTTTTAAAGTAAATGAGTTGCGCAATCTAAATTTCATACTCAAACTCCTTTTATTCCATTGGCGTAGAATTGTTAAAGGTGCAATTATTGAAAAAAATCTAGTTCTACGCCTATGGATTGATATCGGACAAAAACCATTTTGTTGCCACATAAAACTCTATCAATATACCAAATTTCTCTGAGGAATATGTGGTATGTTTTTGTAAAGGCCTTTTACAGACACCCTGTACATATACATATTTTGACTCCAGGAAAGCAGAAATCTTCAGAGGAACAGAAAAATAATTGAAATATATAAGTATTATTTTAAATTGGCTGTTATAATTTCTCATAATATTTCAAAATGAAAAAAGGAACAAATAATCATTATCATCACAAAAAGAAAACTTGAGGAATAACATTTCTCAATAGTCATTATTAACTTAAAGATGATAATAATTACGATTATGACCTATTATGACAGCCTTATCTCCTATCTAACATCGTATATTTATAATATCTGGGGTCTAAGATCAAGAGTTGCGTATTCAATTCGCCTTTTGTTTTTTTCTCGTTATACCAATATCGAAAATAAGACGTCACACCCATGAAAAGCTTTCCCAACATTCAGCAACAGTAAGAAATTACCCTGAACTTCCATTCAATGGATTTCCACTTCTCCACATTTTGTTCTTTTTCGGATTTGTCATTCTAGAATAATTTAACGGAATATAAGATTAGTACAATTTGGGAACATACAATTTGTTCCATCAAATGGACTCACTCTCAAGGGCCCTAATAAACAATCAACATACTTTGAGTACCTATCCCTATTTAGTATTTTCCACAATGGCAATTCTCAATTATTTTTTTTTAGTATACCGGGTGACACAGGAGACATGTAGCAGCCTGTAGTTTTTTTATTTGAAGAGATAACATTTTGAAATTCACAGGGGGTATATAATAAATGGTAGAGCACTTTTCGAACCTAACGACAATTTTTTTCAACCACCTGTTTGACCGGAAGTGACCCCAACTTTATTTTTTCAAGTCACCCTGTACATTTCTTCAGTCTATCTTTTTCGCCTTGAAATTCTCTATCCAACCATGTATCACAAAGTGTCATTTATTTCTTAATTCGCTGTTGAATTGCTTTTTATTCAAAAAGAATAAGTTGGCTGTGACATGAATTCGATGATGCTTGTTTGAGTCAAGATGAAAACCTTCGAAAATAACTCATGATATTGAGGAATCTAAGATAGAAACATATTTTTTCGAATTCAGCTACTCGTACAAAAACTATCTGTCTTTCATTTTCGCCATGTACCTATCACATAATCTTCCCATTTGGAATAATAAAACTAAAATTGTTTCTCTAATACGATGATCCTCAGGGCTATCAGTCTATTTTTTCATAATTATTTCACTTAGTAGGCGGTGTACCTATACACAAAATGTTTTATGTGTTTGACAGTTAATCGATTGCATCAATAATTTTTCTTCTTCATTTGTGTGTTGATTAAAATTGCATATTAACAACATATCGACTTTTTCGTTTCTTGAATACATTTTCCGTTTCTATTGATAATATGCAATTTCAATCAACACACAAATGTAGAAGAAAAATTATTGATTCAATCGATTAACTGTCAAACACATGAAACATTTTGTGTAGGTACAACGCCTACTAAGTGAAATAATCATTAAAAAATAGACTGATAGCCCTGTGGATCATCGTATAAGAGGATCAATTTTAGTTTTATTTTTCCAAATGGGAAGATCATGTGATAGGTACATGGCGAAAATAAAAGACAGATAGTTTCTGTAGGAGTAGCTGAATTCGAAAAAATATGTTCCTATCTTAGATTCCTCAATATCATGAGTTATTTTAAAAGGTTTTCATCTTGACTCAAACAAGCTATTGACAACCTGCAGACATTGATCAGGATATCAAAACATTCAGAATAATATCGGTTTACTAATGATCTTTAAATTTCAAAGCCCACCAAGTGTCGATATATCATCGAAATCATGTCACAGCCAACTCATTCTTTTTGAATAAAAAGCAATTCAACAGCGAATTAAGAAATAAATGACACTTTGTGATACATGGTTGGATAGAGAATTTCAAGGCGAAAAAGATAGACTGAAGAAATATACAGGGTGACATTTAAAAAAAAAAGTTGGGGTCACTTCCGGTCAAACAGGTGGTTGAAAAAAATTGTCGTTAAGTTCGTAAAGTGCGCTACCATTTATTATATACCCCCTGTGAATTTCAAAATTTCATCTCTTCAAATGAAAAAACTACAGGCTGCTACATGTCTCCTGTGTCACCCGGTATGTTAATAGTACACACAGGACTCCTTTTCACCATATAACTCGGGCCTGTTTCAGTGAAATCATTACATTTTATTGAATTACTAACCTAAACTTGTTCACTTTTACCAACCATACATCATACATTACATTAATGGGTCTACCAGGTGTCTCGAGTTATCGTATACAGACAATATCTCCCCGATTTGACAAGATAATTGAAAAATTCAAAAACTTCATTGAAAGGCATTGAAGTACCTTCCTAATGACATATGAAAAAAACCATTATATTTTACAGTTCTCTGCACATTTTATTTTCAAATGGCATCCTCTGTATATTGTCATTGGAAATTACGTGGCACTCAATTTGGAATACAACGATAGCGTATACTTGATAAATTTTTTATTGATAATAAAAAAAATATCAACATGTTGTGACTTGTTTCAAGTTACTCAATTATCCTTATGGAAATGAAATAATATAGTCTCTGTTGGGTTTGATCACTCAGTATTATTATGCAAGGTGACAGCAGTCAGAAATTATACAGAATTGTCAATGAATTGGAAGAATCTAATAAAGACTATTCAGTACATAATAGTGGCGACGAGGTAAAAGAATCAGAACATAATGCAGAATACAGAAGAAAACTCAGCCGGTGATCAAATACCGAATGCAGATAGTGTCAGTATAGCAAATTTGATGCGTTTGCTACAATCCATACAAGATCATCTTCATACAGTAATAATACTACAATCAATATACTGATTGATCCTTTTGATGAGAACATTGAAACATTCATCTCCTATATACAAAGATTGGAAAATTATTTCGACTTGAAGAATATTAAGGATGGAACCAAAAGGAAACAGGTACTCATCGGTTGCATCGGACCGAAAACATATCAGCTCTTGTGCAATCTTACAGCTCCTAATTTGCCTAACACTAAAAGTTACGAAGAATTAGTCAGTATACTCTCGAGTCATCTCAATCCGGTACCGAATGTTATCACAGAACAACATAAATTCCAGGCAAGATTACAACACGAAGGAGAGAGTATAGCCAATTTCGTTGCTGAATTGAAACACCTCACAACGAATTGTAGTTTCATCTGTGATCATTGTCATAAATCCACTATCAATACTCATCTTCGTTCCCAATTCATAAGAGGATTGAAGGACACGAATATCACTGAAAGACTATTACAAGAAACAAACATAAGTTTTGATAAGGCAGTAGAAATCGCTCTAGCAATGGAAGCATCAAGAATGGAAAGTAAGCAAATCCAGAATAAATCTCAAGTAATGAAAATTTGCAATAATCGTGCGGGAAACCGATCTATGGAAAAGAGTTCAATTCCTACCTGTTACCGATGTGGAAAGCCTTATCATAGAGCGGATCAATGTCGAGAAAGAAATTTATTCTGTCATTTCTGTAATATTGGTGGTCATGTTCATGTAGATAAGGTATGCAGAAGAAGACAAAGACAATCAACACCATCAGTATCTACTCACTTAGTGGAAGCCAGTGAATCGAACGAGGATCGCCGAAATTGTGATACAAATAATGATTTTGAACAAATCAATGTTGTTGGATTATTCAGAGATGTTGAATCAAGTAAATATTTCTGTTATGTTAAAATTAATGGAAGAAAATGTAGAATGGAATATGATACCGGATCTGCAGTGTCTCTAATGAGCTTCAGAAATTTCAAGAAAGATTTTCCAGATGTCACCATTTCTTCAACGCCAACTCAGTTGAGCACTTACACAAAACAAAGTTTTCCTTTAAAAGGCATCGTCAATGTTATTGTCACAACTGATGATATGATGAAATCAATAAATACAATCTTACATATAACACAAGGTGACTATGACACGATCATTGGGCGTAACTGGATTTCATCTTTGGGGCTATGTCCGAGGATAAATATGATTGAAGATGATTCTCAAGTGGAGAGATTAGCGAAAGATATCATGGACCAGTATAAAGATGTTTTCCAAGAAATTATTGGAGAAATTCCTTCAATTAAGGGATGTTTAAGATTGCAGAAAGATGTTAAACCAATATTCATGAAACCTAGAATGGTTCCTTATGCTCTGCGAAGTAAAGTTGAACAAGAAATCGATAAATTGGAGAAACAAGGAATTTTTGAAAAAGTCGAATTTTCATTATGGGGAACTCCTTTGGTTCCAATAATTAAAAAAGATAATTCAGTTCGACTTTGTGCGGACTACAAAGTAACGCTCAACAAATGTTTGGCAGAAGATCAAACAAACGAGATTCCTAGAATTGAAGATTTATACATGAAGTTACGTGGTGGAAAGTATTACTGCATACTGGATGTTTTCAAGGCCTATTTGCATCTACCAATGGACGAAGAAAGTGCAAATTTGCAAACTGTATCTACACTGAAGGGTTGTTATCGAGTGAAAAGATTGATGTTTGGGGTGAAGTCAGCACCAAACATATGGCAGCGATTCATGAACTCAATATTATATGACTTGGATGGTGTAGTATGTTTCTTCGATGATATCGTGGTACAGGGTGCAACAATTCAGCAAACACGCGAGCGTCTAGAATTTGTATTGGATAGACTACAGAAACATAATTTGCATTTGAACCCGAACAAAGTTAAACTTTTTAAACGGTCAGTTCAATATTTGGGTCATACAATCGATGAATTTGGTTTACACAAAACAGACGAGAAAATCAAAGACTTATTGAATGTCACAGCTCCTATAGATATTCATCAACTGAGACAGTTCTTGGGGATGGTGAATTATTATAACAACTTTATTCCTGATCTAGCGAGCAAATTATATCCTCTTAACCAATTACTGAAGAAGTCAACCAAATTCGAATGGACTGATTATTGCGAAACTGTATTCAATAATATCAAAAAAGAAATAACAAGCGATCAAGTTTTGATCCATTATGATCCCAGTTTACCACTCATATTAGCTACCGATGCATCTCCATTTGGATTATCAGCAGTCTTATCTCACAGATTACCGGAAGGAGAGAGACCTATAGCTTTTGCAAGTAGAACGCTCACAAATGCAGAACAGAAATATAGTCAACTCGATAAAGAAGCCACTGCTATATTCTGGGGTCTACGCAAGTTTTTCCAGTATTGTTATGGACGAAAATTCATTTTGATCACGGATAATAAACCACTTACTTCAATTTTCAAACCAGATAAACATCTTCCAGATATGATCACAAATAGACTATTGAGGTATGCACAGTTTTTATCGGGGTTCGACTATTCAATAGAGTATCGAAATACTAAAGACCATTCCAATGTGGATTTTCTATCGAGATTTCCACAAAGCAATCCACAAGAACAGGAATGTGATGACACAAGTGTATTACAATTATATGAAGAATTTTT